AAACGGATAGGACTATTAAGTATTTACCATACGTCGCATACCTATACAACTACAACTAATGTGCATGCGATCGTCGACCTAGAAAGCATATTAATATATTATTATTATCATTGCGCATATATTGTATATAGAATCACGCATGGGCGTAGTATAATATGGAAGTTAGTTTTGTCGATCCGCCAAAACCGAAAACGATTAATCGCAGAGGCAATAGAAGTCCAATAATTAATTTGGATAGTATATCTGACATAGTATATCATCATGTATATATTGTGTGTGTGTGTGTGTGCATACACCATTGAAGTGGAGAGACACTGAACACAGCACTCGAAAGCGAGTTCAGTCAGACCGACTCGGTCATTATAAAAATATATGGTATTATAATTTTTACTGATATTGATTATAATATTATAAAGATAAAAATATAATGTTATCGACAATAATTGTAATATAATATTATTAGCCATTAGCCATAACGAGACCTCCACAGGAGCTCAACTGCAGTCTGGGGTCTAAGGGTCAAATTCTATTAAGTATCGCATAAAAAAAAATTATTTTATATCCGAAAATAACACTGTTTATTTTTACAATTCACGTTGTACAATAAATAAAAATGGATACCTATTATACATAAATCGGCATTTATAAAATTATTAATCGATTAGCATATCGATCAATTTATATACTAAGTATAATAAAATAAAATAAATATTTAATAACAATTATTGATAATAATAATATTACGATGATGATGATAATAATAAATGTATAAATCACAATAGCTAGAAATAATAATCATGGATTTTTTTTACAATAATAATATACAATATTAAAAACTAGTACTTATAATGTTAGTTATTTTTTACTACCTACAAGTGAAAATATTACGATATGATATTTACACAGTCTTCGAGCGATTAATGAGCTCTACTCTACACTAAACACTAAATAATAATATTATACACTATATGGATTTGATACTTTGATATTTGACAATGATTATTAATATACATAATATTATATAATATATTATAACATTGTATAATTAATATAATACACAAATATTATTCGAGAGTAGGTACACAATATTGGTGTAAAGTTAAATTCGATAAAAGCTAAACCAATATGGTTTTTCACATAATAATATGGTCTTAAATAAAATAGAATAACGTGTTTATATAAATACATATTATATAATATTTTGGTTTAGATGGATTAGAACTACATGAACATAATGCAGCAATGCGTCCTTCAGAATATTATGATTCACATTGACCTAGGCGAAACGCGTTTCTAATCGAGGCATTAAGCTTATGACTAGATTTTTCTTCTACTAATATTTTTCTATTGAATTTGATAGGCAGACGATATATTTTACAGGCGATCGAAGCTACTAGACAACGAGGTTTCATTTTAACGAATAAAACAAATTATGACAGTGATGGTGTGGTTCGTGGATAGTGAGAGAGACGGGACTCGCACGTATAATAAACAAATTATATAATTGTAAATTATAATATTATTATGCACTGCTGCGTTATGAGCCGTTATTATATTATCGGTTACACGGATACAACCGACGGACTGTATCCGTGTAACAAATACTACTAATTTAAATATAAATATGGTAAAAAATTACAAATTAAAAACTAAACGCTATGAATATATGTGTATGGACAAATATATAATAGATAACACGTGATTACAAGCTGTATATTATGTATTACGTGAGTGGTAGAAGGATCGATGGCGGAATAGTAGTGGTAATAAGGGCGAGACTTAAACGTATTTCGACGAAATAAGAATAAACTTGGGTTTTTTTTTTCTAAACAATTAAATTATTTAAATAAAAATAATATTTGTTTTGGCCATCTCAAAAAAATAACAGTGTATTTGAAGAAGGGTTGTCCCACGAACACGGATCACACAAGTTTCCGTCGAGTTATTCTAAGCTTAAAACGTGGGTGAGTAAATAATTTAAAAGAACACAATAGCAGTGGGTAATAAAATAAAAGTAAAAATAGTAGTAATAAAAATAAATAATAAATAATTATACAAAACAATAAACAGACGTTTTCGGGTCTTCCTCGACAACAAGAAAAGTAAAAAACAAATATTATAATATATGTACAGATCAGTCTTATATGAGATGGCCATTTAGTCTTTAATTTACACAATATCACTTTCTATTAAAAAAAAAAAAAAAAATACAATGATACACAACACAAGTAAAACTCATAAGGCGTAAAAAAATGTGTATAATATGTGAATAATAATAATAATAATAATAATAATAATAATAATAATAAATTAATTTTAAGAATAATATTTCTTTTTTTATACTTCAGTACATTAAAACAGGAAAAAAGTTAAAATATCAAATCAACGATTCCACTAGATTACAGTGTTTGATTTATAACTGTTTATTATTATTTTTTTTTTTTCATGTAAAAAAGTTTGTCAGTACGTTGATATAATATTCTATATTTAAAAAAATGTGATGATGAATAAATATTTTTTTGAAAATCCTTAATCTAAAACAATAAATAGAGGTACCTATATAAAAATTCAAAAATTGTATAAAAACAAACGTATACATTTCATTTTTCTTAACATTAATCTTTTATTTACACGCGGTCATGCACGTCGACTAATAATGATATTTTGGGTGGGCAACGAACTGCAGTTCTCACTGCTAAACGTTGTCGTTTTGTTGCAGTTTTTTTTTTTTGAAATTAAAAAAATAATATTTTCCACAATCTGCAAGCACAAATACAAAAAAATAATATATAATATTATACACACCATGTTATGTTTAAAAAAATGTCACGTGGGTCGGCGGGCGCTGGTAAAACGGTTCGCTAAGCTTGACCTACACGCACGCGAGTGGACGGGACGCGACAAAAATAGACAGCCAAGGTCAGTTCGAACTTTGAGAAGCACGCTACCGGAAAGTGCATTGGCCATTGTGCATTGATAAGAACAAGAAAGCTAAAAAAATGAGTACCTACCTACACCAATATTCCTCCTGTGTTCCTATAACGGTAGGTAACCTTGAGAAACGTATACGCGAGAACGTACATAAATATAATATGTTATATTTTTTTATAATAATATGAATGTGTACCTTGGACTTTGAGACCCGATTAGGAACAGCAAACACGAGTATGATTAATATTGGCATATTGCTAATTTAAAAGCGTCTCTTTTTTTTTCGAACAAATAATTTTAAATCGTTGTACTTCTGAACATAGTTTTATCTTTCATCCCAACGGTTCGCAAAGTCGGATTAAAAAATTGGTATTGCAGTTATTTAAGTGAAATGGACACCATATCAATATGTCTATACATTCCTATACATGACATTTAAATTATCGCCATCGACTATTAGGAATCTGATCACTTAACACGGTCTAATAATAAATAAAAACTAATTACCATAATATTATAATTATTATATTGTAGCTACATTATTTATTTCTGATACAAAATGAAAAAAATTGTCTATTCGGATAATATTAGATGAAATGTTTTAATCACAATATTATGTGTATATACGTTCATTAATATACCTAGTAACCGCAAATATAGATCATAAATTCATAACTTTTTAACGAGAAATAAACGTATCTATGAACTATTACCTAAATTAATCGATTGAAACAAATAATTAACTATTCTTGGCTCGAGCAAATAGTTCGATAATAGTTATGTTGTTTTCAATATTATCAACATCGCCATCACAATTCGTTAGAACCTTCAGAAGCAAAGGAACTGAAATCATTGAAACGTGAGAAATATCCAAATTGATATTGCTAAATAGTCGAATATCAGATGATAATATTATGGCCTATGATCGTGAACTTTGCGGGTCATAGTTATATACAAATATAACTATGTAAATGTTAGATGATTTATTTTTAATTGACTTTTAATTTTTTCTTTCGTCATTTCAGTACACCCATATATGACGCGGTCTATGTGCATTTTAGAGCCAAAAAAATAAATGAAATAGTTATGAAAATCTGGTTCCAAGTTGGCCCGGGTTTGATATACCAAATCAGAGCAGATGTCAAAACACGTGAATTTTCAATTTTATCGTTTTAATTGCCACGTCGAAATTATATAATTGCTCGTTCAATCTATATCAGTATATAAATTGCCAATACACTCCTTTCCGATAGCATTGTTACCGATCGCCTTTCATAATACCTATGATAGTATAACATTAGCCATTAGGTAACTCGTTATAGGTATAACCGAACAATTTTTATAATCATTTATTTTACATCAGGCTATAAATAAAATAAATGTTCTAGGTATTAGGACGATTCTTGCATACTATACGTGTTATATTATGTGTTTTTGAGCAATTACGTACTAAGACTCGTATAAGTTGTTGGGTAAATTATACTCTTTCTCTCTCTCTCAAGAATCGAAGTGATTTTTTCACATTTTGTTTCATACAGGGTGATTCACAAAGCATGCTCACCCACCATATTTTCATTTGATACATAGTGAATTTATTCAAATTCTGATCATTGGCATTTTTAAATACATTTATCAACGACCATATTATTTTCAAATTCTTGAGAGTTTTTTGTACTACTTAGGTAAGATGTGTCGAAACATCTATTTTTCAAATAAGAAGCTCTACTCTTTTTCTACTATTGATAATCGAACGCGATATTAGTTTTATGCACTGGGTACCTACTCAGCATATTGATTACATACACATGAAGGGTGAAGATTAAAAAAGGAAAACAACTTTATGATATAAATTCACGGGATATCTCGAGAAGTCTATAAAACGAAAAAACGAGATAAGGTGATATGAACCTGCATACCTCTCGTTTACGAAATACCGATAGAGTCAAAAATATAAAACATTTTAGGTTGGCGATAAGACCTATCGGCTATTACAATCGATATTATAAATTATAACAATAATATCATAATATGAACTTACGTTTTGGACAGGCGGAGGGCTGAGGGGTCGTTCACCAGTAAGCGGAAGCTTCGTTTTTCTGCTCGCGCCACCCGGACCACGAGTTCTGCCTAGATTGGGCGCCGAAGTAGTGGACGGGCTGCTTCGGATGGTGATCGAAGTCGGCGACCAGGACGGGCGACAGGACGGATTGCTGCGGCGGCGGCGGCAGCGGGATGCCGTTGGACGGGCTGCCCGCGGACAGACAATAGTTGTTGCCGTCGTTGTTGTCCCAACACTCGAACTCGGCGCTCTTGTAGCACACGGCGAACTCCATGGACGCGGTGTTGACGGGCAGCGGAAGTTGGAACGAGAACGTGTCGTAGATGGCCGCGACGTTTGGCGCGGGGCCGGTGGCCGAGCCGGAGCCGTTCGCGGCCGCGTTCATCATCGCGTTGTTCTGCACGTACGTGCACTGCGTGTCTTCGTGGCCGACCCACCGGTCGTGAGTGCACCGGATGAATACGTCCTTGTCGTAGGACAGGTTGCGCACCTTGACCGTGCCCACGATCCGCCTATCCGGCGACCGGATGATCACGTTCTCCAGCGACACGTTGTCCGTGTCCAGCCGCTTCCGGAAATCCACGTAGCTGGAAGCCGGCTGCGAGAACCTGAGGTGCCACTGCAGTAGTAGCTGATCCGCAGCTAACATTTGCTGCTGCTGGAGGTGTTTGGCCGAGGCCACTGACCCGGAGCCCGAGCAGGCGACATCTGATTGATAGTACGAAGAGGATGACGACAACAACGACGACGACGACGTAGCCAACTTGGGTAGGTACGGTCTGACGACGCTCATCAGTTTTGGCGGTTGGTTTGACGGTTCGTTCATCAATCGCACCTGCGCAAATAACATTATAAAATTATTAATTATTCATCAGCAATTTTTTTTATTATTACTATTGAGTTAAGGTCATAAGGATTACTGTGTTAATTGTTTTCTATACTTCAATTGAAAATAATATGATCAATTAATTGGGGAGAGTTGAAATTACAGAAAGATAAGAACAAAATTGAATGAAAATAATATGTAATTTGTTTAATTTTTTTTTATTCGCCCAAATTCTATATTAAAACAAACGAATGTGTATAAGGAGTTGGGGCTTCTTGTCATGCATGACATCCTTGGTCCATTAACTGTGCTATATAATATGCTATTAACTTTTATTAATAATTTTAAACTTTTACACTTAATAAGGACGTGCATTTATTGTACATTATAATTGATAATATAAAATTCCTTTTTACTAATGTCTAATAAGAGTGTTTTTTATAAATATGTATTTAATATTGTTTTGAAACATTTTTCACCCCCCCCCCCCCAAAAAAAAAAAATCCTAGATTGGCCACTGGTTATAACTTATACTACAGTATTTAATGGCTAGTACAAAAACTAATATTTATATTCAATGCTAGTACCCAATACTTACAAGTTACAACAGTCTACCGAGGTAATAATATGATAGCTATTAGCTATTATATTAAATTCCCTAATCACCACAAGCCGGTAAAATAATGAGAATATTATATAATATTATTCTATACCTAAGCTGATAAGTGATAACCAACGACTGTTTTGTAGAGTAAAAATAATTATGTTTGATGAAACGACACGACGATTATGAGCTATTTAAAGAAAATCACGTCTCGTACATGGTTATATATATCACGCTGATTATGCTACCACACGAGTTTCGGGTCATAGTATTCGACGACACGCAGCATCCGAAATGTACCGATAGGCGATAACCTACAAGTTGCAACTTAATAGCAATCGTACAACGCAATCGTAATGTTATATTAAGTATACCTAACAATGATAACAATATAACATGTATAGGTAATTGGTCACACGTACGTTGCTTGAGGTCGGGCAAGTTGTTTTTGTTTAAATAAATCCAATTTAATATACTTTCCACAGGCTTCCCGCTCCCGGATGGAGCCATTTTCCACCCGGATTTTTGGAATTTTATTTTAAATTGGGTATGCTATAATAATTGACTATATTATAACAGCCAATTTAATAAATATTATATTTTATGTATTAGAACAAACTTCTTCCCCCAGCAAAAAATTCTACGGGTGCCTATGCATTACTTACTAGGTAATAGGTACCTATAATAGTCACTCGTCACAAAATAAAATACCTATTATAGAGACCATAATTTAGAGCAATGGTGGCTTTAGGGTTTCAAATTTCGTATGGTCATGATTAGGACATTAGGTATATTTATAAATTATAAGTACCTGCCTATAAGCTAAAGGTCAGGGGTGCTGAACCAATAACACGCGTGCTGAAGGTGGCCTTTGGTCCAATGTTAAAAGCATGCAAAAATATTTTATTTCATTGTTTAATCTTATACAGTGTTGGATCCAGGACTTAATTTGGGGGGCATGTGGGGAGGGAAAAAGTACAAAAAGTGTAAAACATAGGGAAACTAAGGTGATTGGGCTGATACTGTATAATATTGCATTTATAATGAAAAACAAACCATCCACACAAGGTATATTATTATTTTTGACACTCAATATTTGTATCGAGAATTTAGTGATGTGCCATTAGGAATATTCCCCAACCCTTCGGGAAATTTCTTTAAAAAAAAAAAAAAATATAATTTTTATGTTATTCAGTATTTCAATTTCAGTATGTTTATTTTTATTTTTTCAACACTGCACAGATTTTAATTAAAAAAATTAACTATAGTTATTTAATAACTTTTTGAAAGAATAAATATCTAAACCGACATAATATCAATAAAGAGCTATCATTTGGATCATTTACAACCATAAGTTTAATTTAAAACTGAAACCTATGATCAATATTTAAAAACTTATTATACTCCCGGGAATTTTTCCATCACTAATCGAGTTACGGTAAGATGTAAAAGTTTATTTTCTACAATTTACATCTTCCGCAATATTTTGGCAAGTGAAAAAGGTGAATAACCCTGCTATAGGAACTACCAAAACTCCTTAATCCCCATTTTTGTACTACAATAAATACAATTGTTAGTACTAACAAAATATAGATTTTAATTTTAAAGAAAATACGTATAATGTATGTTGTGTTCAATGCCTATATGATATATATTTACAATATCTGTTTAACTATAAGTAGGTACTTATATCATTTAATAATTACAAAAAAAAAATTGTGTACATATTGGTAATAAAACCGATAAGTTTGAAAAACTAAATTATTTTAACAAGGTGTAAAATAAATGATTGACAAAGCTATTGAAATATTTGCATTCTTTCGACTGATAAATGATAATCCTTTACTTTCCTTATCAAAACGACACGACTATTTTTACAGGTGAGCAATCAAAAAAATGTGAAACGGGTGTTTAATGGTTTTTTGGAGACAACTTTTAAATTGTATAATATTATACGTACGTATTATATATGCAGATACTTAACTATAACAATATTGTCTATAACGAGTGAGTGTCACTTACTTGAGTCAGTGACAGGCCTCGGTCGTCGGCGAAGACGACTTTCTTTTTCCTCCGGACCGGACTAGACGGCTCGGTCTCGTCCGAAGACGAACTCGACGACGACGATCCTATGCTGGCATCAGAATCTGCCCTGATCACCAGGCACGGTCTGCGGGGCTTGCTGGAGGAGGGCGACGAGTGGGCCACAGTGGTCGGCTGTCTGTCATCCGACCGGGTCGGCGAGAAGGACGCCGACCGGCGCACCGACAACGGCGACTGTTGCTTCTGGTTCACGACCAACCAGTTCTTATAGAGCACGGACAGATGATCCTGTGGCGGGCCGCTGTAGATGGGCGGGCTGTGTGCCAACATGACGTCGCAACACTCTGTCAACATGTTGGAGGACGATCGGCACGGGCTTTGGTACCTATAAGCGAACAAAAACAACAGCGGCGAACACATTTTATTGACGGTCTTATACACAGAATGCGCGTGGTTATAATACATCATAATATCGTGAATAATGTAATATTATAATTTATTACGACACGCGTAAGACAATTTTTACAAGTATTAAGATATGGCGGTATAGTGACATATCCGTCGAGGGTACCGCATATCGGACAAACACCCTCTATCCTGCAACGAGTATATAGTATATTATATGTTTGGTATAGTGTGCGGAGACCTTAAAGTACACACAGAGGCCACGCATCGGTGGCGGGCAGGCACTGCTGCAAATTAACGTCCTGTAAAATGTTAATTTGTTACACCTATATATAGAGTCCCGGCATTTCTAGCAAACAGAAAATTCAAAAAAAAAAAAAAAAAAAAAAAATAATCATTAACATTTTTACAATACAGTAATGTTAGCAATACTAATAATTATAGCGACAACACCAATTTTAATAATTTTAATTGGCAACAATGACGCCCAGCAATAGGGTAAAACCCGAGAAAGAAACGTCGCTCCAGTCGGAACAAGCGGAAACCTCACGATTCAAACATTTCGTGCACGTTTTCAACCCAACGATGGATGCAAAAGCTCAAGAGTTGTATTAGAGAAATAGCCAATTTTAACAACTTAAAAGCATTTTTAACAGCAAACAAAATTTCAATGAAATATTACCACGAAAAATAAATTACGAAAGGAAGTAACTCATTAAAGCTGTATCACTCATTGCCACATCAATCAGCCACTGGAAACTTTTATGATATTAATTTATCATTAAATTCATTACTAATAATTAATAAGCAATAGTATAATAATATGCATAAGATATTAAAATGTCCAATCACTTTTGTTCCCATCAAACGTGGCCATGCACTATATATTTTAGATTTGCATTTAATTTTAATTAGCAGCAAAAAATAAATACCGTGCAAAAAATTATCAGAATTTATTGTGTTTAATTTGTTGAGCTAATCTAAAAACAATAATAATGTTATTTATACAGCGCCTTTTCCTAACAGGTAACTACTTGATAATAACATTTAATAATATCTCTGTGCACACATCCGAGTGTTGTGCTCGTTAAGTGATATGATGAGTTAAAGGTCAAATATGAACTATATTATCAATAAGAAGCAAGTACATTTGTGTGGTTGGTATAATAAAACACGCTGATAACTATCAAAATCATAGATAGCTTTATGTTAATATATTTTTATCTAGTTGGTTTTTATTTCAGAGAGAAACGCATAAAATTTTTGGGATTTTTACCATAAGCCTATAACAACAAAACACATATCATTAAAATTGAATACAAGTGATGCTGTGGTGTATGTTAATTATTATTACTAAATACTAGTATCTTGTCACGATATTTATCGATTTATTGGTATGTATGAAAGGTTTACTAGAATAGATTACATTACAAATATTATTTAAATATTTTTCAATTTATTACAATAACATAGGTAGGTACCTAATTATATTATTGTTCCAAAAAACCAATTACCTACATTTAACGAAACATTTCTATTACCTACCTAAATAAAATATACATAATGAATACGTGGTTCTAATTGAGTACCTAACTATTGACTATATTATAATAATATAAAAGATAATATTTTTATCTGTAGGTTAAAGAAACTCGCGTTCAAAACACATTTAACTATCACTAGAAAATCCCTTAAAATGCATGATCTAGGTTTGCCTAGCCTTATTGATATACACCGTGGTTTAAGGGCCTATGGCTAAGAACCTATGCATAGATGATATGTTAGAAGATATGTGCTCAATCAGTACTATCACTAGGCCACCAACTCGTATTTGTTTTTTTTATGTAATTAATAAAATATATATGCCATACAAAAAGTAAGACCAAAAGGATTTATGTTTGGAATTAAAATAATATTTGCATCAAAATATAAGCCATCAGAAGTTGGAATATGACAAGAGGTTGAAGTCAAAAAGCAAACAAAACATCCATACAAATGTACATGCAATTGACATGACGTAGGTATAATATAAAATTATAGTAAGTACTTGCAATATTAATAGAAACAAAATTAATAGTGATTATGGTTACCGGGTGAAGATGATGCTTTGTAGGTAAAACTAGAGAACTGGAAAATGTTTGTTATAATATATTTTTAATTGCAATGAAATTGCTGTCTAATGCTTAAGAGTGGAGTCAGCATCGCGGAGGCGGAGGGCCGTCACGTCCGGAACCAACGTTCGTGGATCTCCGATGGTGCCCGTTCATTCTACTCTATCACTATAACCGATACCAAGTGACCACTAACCAGATGACCTGTTGAAAACCGACCACGAACATTTAAAAAACGAAAATACATATCTGAACAATTATACCGCCCTATTTGTGAATAGGAGGTGGGTTGACGACGACACGAGGCCCGTTATCTCTCATTGTGTCCGGCTCGAGACACAAAAAGATAATTAAAAAACATATAATTTTCGAGCTGAATTAATAACATTGGCCAGTCACGTACTTACGTACATATAAGGGTAATGTGCCAAAAGTATCAAAAACGAGACTCTCGCGGCTCCCACTCACACTACAAAAATCATGTTGCCCGGGAGTCTGAGGGGAAAACAGAACAAAAAGTTCCCCTATATCATTTTGCCCTTCGCCAAAAGATCACGGCCAAAAATAAACTCGGACCACTGCCAGACAATATATTATATATATTATAAGGTCGAAAGATGACGAGCGTTTATCGACTATAGTCGCCTACGTGTGGTATTTCGGCGGTCTCGGGGAGAGAGCACACATGAGATATGGCAATAACTATAATAACAATAATGACGATAAAAGTATATCGTGATTGTTTAATTACTGTAAAATGACTGTCGTTATTATAATATTATTATTATTATAATTCGCCGGCCGTAACGATGCGATAAACCGCGTATTCGCGTGGATATAATAGTAATCGTCGATTACCTACAGACGTGTGACCTAACCTACAGGTGTGCCGAAGATTAAAATCGATATTATGCATGAAGTTTATTTCTAAAATTAAATTATTTTCCCTTTACTGAAATAATCTCGGCCTAACGAGACGGCGGGTTTTCCTGCTCGCCGCCAGTGGCGGCGGCGACTTCCTCCCGAAAACGTAGCGCGTCTCATAATAATTTAGACCATAGGTGGTAATATTATGTTTTAAAGAAGGACTTCGATAGAAAAAAAAAACCGTGAATAATCAGAAAAAACTTAAAAGAAAAAAATACTCACTGCAGTATGGTCTCCGTTTTTGAGGTCGGCTTCTGATTGTTGCAATGCAGTTTGAATGATTTGTCGAAGAGCAAGTTCAAACGACAACGGCAATGGTAATTATGCAACGTATGGATGATATCTGCAGCTATATGGGTTACTGTGGATTTTCAGTGTTCGTCGGTATATTTTATAAAATTAAAATAACAACGTCGAAGTGCAGCTGTGGTGTCGGAAACTCTTGATGTTTGCGGGACTGTGAATTTGAAATCGAAAAAAAAATTGAAGCTATGGTGTGTTTTGTTCGACAGAAAATGTTGCGTGTTACGGAATCTAATAATAATATGACGTTGGTCTGTACGTATTCAAACGAGATCCAGGGGAAAAAAAAATCACAGAAATGCGGCTATCATGCATCGGACACTGATAAACCGAACCATGGCGGACGGTCGTCAGATTTTTGTTTCGAGCTAGTCTCAACAGTCGTTGTGAACTTGCTGGCGTTGCGTTGTGCTACGAAGCGTCGACTGAACGTGTCGTAGTAGATATAGTCGTCGTCGGTCAGCACGTCCGATAACGGCGATACCACCTCCACCGAAGCCACCGACCAACAGACTCTTCCCACCCATTCGCCCCACCACAAGACGGTGCCTATTTTCAATCGGGCCTTTTAAAAATATAATAATAATTATATATAATTAACAGCTTTTACCGCTTGAACCTCAGAACCTTTGGATTATGTTATCGTAAATTTGGCGGTAGGTGCATAACAATAATACGTGACATTACACACTATTGTATTATTAAAATTGATTTTGTTATTACAGTTATTATTATTCTCAGAATCGATATCTAACGTAACGATTGCAATTTTTCGACCAAAATCTGGCTGTCGATATACGCTTCATCCGGGGTGCCCGCAGATGAGGGGGGGGGGGGTCAGTGGGTGCCAAACGTAACCACTGAGGTTTAAAAAAACTTATTATTCTATTATATTTACAATAATTATACATAATAATATTTAAAACTTTGAATACTAAGTATCTAATTCACTTTTGATTAAAAAATAATAACAATTGTCCGAAAAATAATTCAGTTAAAAAAACCTTGAATTGATTATTTCTGAAATGTTATGTAAATGTAATGTTTGCTCTTTTAGATTCTGAGCAGAGCCATTCGGTGGGTCAAAAAGCTTAAAAAAGTAATACAAAGTGTTTATTATATTGTTACAATGACAGTTGAAAAATATTAAAAATACAACATAGTAACAATTTTTTTTTTATGAGCATTTAAAGTTCGAATTTTGAAAAGGAGTAAATAGCACGAACATATTCAAATTATTTTGAGTTAGGAATTCATAAATATTTTTCTTTTTAAATCTAAGAATTGAAAACTTAATACAAGATTTTTCATAAGTTTTTCTATGTTTAACACAAAAAAAAATGTCTATCGGAAAGTCAAATTAAATGCATATGAGCGTTTGAAGTTCAAATTATTGCAACATTGGATATTCTATACTCGATTTCTCATGTAGCGATTTTCTTATTTTGTTGTAATTCAAAAACGAATAACTGTAAATACTTTAAATTTATACCATAATATGTTTATTTTATCGATTCCTATACTTGATAACATTTTCAAAATATTTTGACTTGTTTTGAGCTGTTTAGTGACATTTTCAGTTTCCAATTTTTTTAGTTTTTTATTCTATAAATATCAATAAAATGTTATTGGTTGGTTAAAAAAGCTTGAAAATTTAATAGAAGGCTTCTAGAATACTGTTTCAAAGGCAGATGAAAAATATTAAAAATCCTTAGTCATAGTTTTTTTTTTATAAGCATTTAAAGTCCAAAAATTGACAAAATATGGAAAAATCACGAAAATTAGCAAATTATTTTGAATTAAGAGGACGCCACACCCGCATGTGTTGTCTCCGTCTTACAAATGTACAACATAGCAAAAACTATTTTACGAGGGACAACTTTTCTCGCACCATATTTGTTGTAGAACTACCAAATTTTCACAGCATTTAAAGAAGAACTTTATCTGTGAAACAGCGTTCCCATATTTTAAATAACATATATACAATACAAGTTATTTGCTTCTAAACATTTGGTTTTTTCATTTGCTTATAAAAAATGATTGGATGGAGCTATTGAAAAAAATAGCACGCTGCACAGTGTTTTAAAATCGAAATAGCTGGCCAAAATTAAAAAATATCCAATTTTTATTTTATTTTCAACAATCGTTCAATTGAGTAATTTCATATTATGATTTATGATAATTTACTTTTCCACCATTTATTTCATTTTTACCCATTATGTTTAATTTGTTTTTAAATTCTTAATTTTTTATGTTTATCATAAAAATAATATTAATCATTGTTTTCTTAAATATACAAATATTTTCTATACATATAATTGTACAAGTTAAGTAAGTACATTGATAATTAACTGTATGCATTTTTAATTAGGTATATAATTATAATTGAGAATTTATAGGTAATTTTTGAATATTTTTGAAACTAAACAGTTTAAATTAAAATGTGCAACTTCGGGCAGCTAGATTTAACGCAGTATTAATGTATAGAATGTGTGTTTTAATTTGGCATATAACTGGAAGTGGAGTCTTGTGGATAAATATAACTAATTGCCTCATTATCTTAATGATACGATTAGATAAGTATAGGTACCTCCGTAATGATACGTAGTTAAGACCCTTAATATCGACTTTTATTAAATTGATCGTCAAATTATTTTATAATAATAGATAACAATTCTAAATTTGAAGAATCAAGTCAAAATAGTAATTTCTATCAACAAAATGTTTTATATTACAAATTAAATAATTTATCAAAATTATACAAAATTTAGTATATTTACACATTCACCATTAAATATTTCAATGAATACATTTTTTTTCATTACTTTTTTGATACGATCGTATTGGTTGTTTAAGCAAGGAACTTATTTGTAATTATAAATTGGAAAAAAAAAATATAGAAAAATAGACTTTTGGCCAGCTATTTTCGATTTTAAAACACTGTGCGCTGTTGCACAGATAAAGTTCTTCTTTAAATGCTGTGAAAATTTGGTAGTTCTACAACAAATATGGTGCGAGAAAAGTTGTCCCGCGCAAAACAGTATTTGCTATGTTGTACATTTGTAAGACGGAGACAACACATGCGGGTGTGGCGTCCTCTTAAGAATTCGTAAATATTTTTCTTTTTAAACCTAAGATTTTAAAATGTAATACAAGATTCCTTATAAGATTATCTACCTTAATCAAAATAAAAAAAAGGTGTATGAGAAAGTCAAATTAAATTTTTATGAGAGTATAAAATTCAAATTTTTACAACATTGGATATTCACTCGATTTTTCATGTAGCGATTTCTTTATTTTGTTGTAGTTCAAAAACGAATGACTGTAGATACATGAAAATTTCACTAAATATTTATATTAGCATTCCTATACACCTTACAATTTTGAAAATATTTTGACTCTTTTTGAGCTGTATTATTATTTTTGTCTTTTCGTCAGTCAAACTTAAAAAATATTATTTTCTATTTATAGATACAACCAACATAGTAACATAGGGCGATAATTTATTATTCAAATTAATCTAACCTCAGCTTATTTAATTTTCACTTATGATTATATAATGTAAACATTGAACATTTTTAAGTCATATAAATACATTTTGAGGAATACCGGGTTAAACGCAAGACGTCACGTACTAACGTGACAAGGTGGCATCCGGATCCCTCCAAATTACATTAGAAGAACGTAAACAGATTGTACGGGATTTGTGTTAAGTAGCAAACCTAGAATTTAGGATTACATTCGGTTATAAAATATTAAATTATATATATTACTAGCTGACACAGAGATGCTTTGCTATTGCTAAGTTGTTGTGATTGTTCAACTCCTTTGGGTGTAACACGCGCTGTGAAAGCAATTTCTTAAGTGTAAATTATATTATATTTTAATTGATAGCAATCCCGACTGGCGTTGTCCGTGAGATTTTCTTGGATTATGTGAGCAGTATATAATGGCCTGAGGTAGATCCCATGGTGGGTACGTATATATATTATTCAACTCTAAAGTATCAAAAAAATGAAAAAAAATTGGTCCACCGAAACCGTGGTTCGAACTCGATACACTGTACTAAAATACAGAGGCATATCGCATTAACAATAACTATTATTATTATTAAAACGATTTATACACTAAAATTTTTTATCGTAAATCTCAAAATCCTTGTTTTATGACCTCCCCGGGTTGGACCTATTATTTACCTTTTTCACAACAAAACGTAGCCTATATTATCTTCCCTAAGGTTTAATATATCTCTGTACCAAAATTCATCGCAATCGGATGAATAGTTTAGCAATACACAAAGGACATAGATAGCTTTTTTTTTTTTTTGGGGGGGGGGGGGGGTTCCGGCCTTTAAGACCATCCCGTAAAACAAATTTCCCTCCACCTTATTCTGTTTTCAGCTATTTCTCTCCAGTTTGTTCTTGGGTCTACTTCTTTTACTTCTCTCTTCACGCAGTCTTCCCATCTGAGGCGTGGTCTGCCTAGTGGTCTTTTTCCTTTCGGATCCTCTTTAATTACTGTGTTTATCATAGCGTCTTTTTTCCTCCAAGCGTGACCTGCCCACATCAGTCTTCTTTTTGCAACTTCCCTTGAAATACTTGATCTTTGGAACAAGTTATATACTTCCTCATTGGTTCGAATTCTCCATTCTTTGGTTCCTGTGTCGAGACAAGGTCCATAGATTCGTCTTAAAACTTTTCTTTCAAAGGTGTCCAATCTTATTTCCTCTATCTTTCTTGGAGCCCATGTTTCTGATCTATATAGGATGACAGGACGTATTAATTTCATATATATTTTTATTTTTAAATTTAGAGATATTGATCTAGATTTTAGCAGGGTTCCCAAACCAAAATAGCAGTTGTTGGCCAGTTGTATCCTTTTTGAAATATCTACTTTTAACTCATTGTCCTGAGTTAAGAGGACACCTAAGTATTTAAATTGTGGAACCCTGTGGAATATATGTCTATCTACATTCATACTTTCTCCGTGTCTATACGTCCTGTCTCTTCTGTTGAGTTTCATATATTCCGTCTTACTATCATTTATTCTGAGGCCGACCTTACCCGCAGCATCCATTAGCTTCTTACAATGTATTTTAACTATTTCAATATTGTCTCCTATGATGGCAATATCGTCAGCATATGCTAGCAGGCCTATCTTTGACAATCCTAAGGTTATACCTTCTGATATATTCATATATCTGACCACCTTCTCCAGAACTAGGTTAAAAAGGATTGGGGATAATGCATCCCCTTGCCTTAAACCAGAAGTTACTTTGAACGATTTAGATGTAGAGTTCGCTATTTTTATTTTTATTTCAGAATTTTCCATAGTCGCTTTAATCAGGTTAATTAACTTTCTTGGCATATTGAACTCTTTTAATATATTAAATAGTGTTGGTCTATGTATGGAGTCGTATGCTTTCTCAAAGTCTACAAACAAAGTATAGACCTCCTTATCAAACTCCCACATTTTTTGTAATATCTGCCTTATAATAAATATTTGATTTGTAGTGGATCTATTTGGTCTAAAACCCCCTTGGTAGTCTCCCAGTATTCCTTCGGAGATTGGTTTAATTCTATCTAGGATGCAGTAAGATAAAACTTTGTATGTTGTATTGAGTAAAGCAATGCCCCTATAATTGTTGCACTCTAGTGGATCGTTTTTTTTATATATCGGACACACTAATGCGATTTTCCAATCTTCCGGGATTTTTTCTTCTTTCCATACTAATTCTACTAGGTTATGTATATTGGATATGGTTTCTTCGTCTAAAATATTTAGAATCTCAGCCTGTATTCAATCTTCACCTGGAGTTTTATGATTTTTCAGCCTCTTAATTTGTTCTGCTATCTCAATTCTGTCTGGTGGGAGGTATTCGATTTCGTTTGGTTCTACGTCAGTCCAAGTGAATGAGTTTATAGGCTCGTCGCAATTAAGGAGGTTCTCAAAGTAATCTTTCCATTTATCCAAGATATCGTTTGGGTCTGTAATCAGTGTACCACCTCAGTTTTTTAAGAACTTTTCTTGTTTCTTGAATCCTGTTCTAAGGGCATTGATATTTTGGAATAGTTGACGTGACCTATTCGATTTTTGGTATTCTTCTGTTTCTTCTAGCATGGTCTTCGTGTACCTTCTCTTTTCGTATCTGATTATATTGTTTACTTCTTTTTTGCATATTATGTAGTTATTTTCTTTTTCTACGTTGTCTGTGTCGCTAAGCCACTGTATTCTACTTTCTTTTTTCCGTTTTAGGGCTATCCTACATGTATCGTTAAACCATGGTTTCTTCGATTTCTTTTGTTTTCCTATTACAGCATCAGATGTTTTGTTTATTATATCCTTAGCTTTATTCCACCTTTCATCTACCGATACTATGCTGTTAAAGTCGCAGTTATTAAAATCATGACGTATTTTATGTCTGAAGGTATTTACACATTTTGGGTCATCCAGTTTTGTTACATCATATCTGGTAAGTTGTTCCATATTTGTATGAGGGCGTCTTTTGAGTTTTATTTTAATTTTTCCTCTTACGAGATAGTGATCTGAGTCCGAGTCTGCTCCTTTTATCGATCTGACATCTTGGATACAATTTTTATATCTTGAATTGACCAGAATATGGTCTATTTGGATAGTATATCTTCCATCTGGTGACCTCCATGTCCCTTTATGAATATTTTTATGTGGGTACATTGTACTCTTTATTACTAAACCATTCCTGGTTGCCAAGTCAATTAGTTTAAGTCCGTTGTCATTTGTTTCATCGTGTAGACTGTGTTTTCCTGCCACTTGTCGAAACATTGTTTCTTTCCCAACTTTGGCATTTAGATCTCCTAGTACAATTTGTATCTTATCGCTAGGAATCGAGTTCAGCAAACTTTCCAATTGTTCATAAAACATTTCTTTCTCATCTTGGGATTTGTCCTCCGTTGGGGCATGTACATTCAAGAAGCTTATATCGAACCATTGTGCTTCTATTGTTAACATGCTTATTCTAGGGTTAATATCTTTGAATTCTTTAACTACAGGGACTAAATCTTTGTGCACCGCAAAACCCGTTCCTAGTTGACGTTGATCAGTACAGCTACCATAGAAGATAGTTGTCTCGTTTATATTCATCGTCCCTGTATTGGCCCATCTAATTTCTTGTAATGCTGTTAATTTTACTTTATATTTTTCAACTTCATTCACTATGTTGTGAACTGTTCCAGATTTAAATAGTGTGCGTACGTTCCAAGTTCCGAAAGATAAGTCCTTTTTCCGTTTTCCAGTCAATTTTCCAAAAATTCTGTCCCGAGGCAAACTTGCTTGATCCTGAACATGTTGTTTCTTACTAGGTAGGGTTGTTAACCCTACGCTAAACCCCCTTCCAGGAGGACCAAACCATACCAACTAGTTAAAGTCAGTGTGGGGCTATTGCAGTACACAATGTTGTGTACTGGGCGATGGGTACGCCACTTTCCCTACTCCGAAATATATAGGTAGCTATAGGTAGGTAGAAATATTTTTTGTATTTTATAAATATATGTAAGGTAAATCGTTTTGAAGGCCGAAGGGTTTCACTTGAAAATTCTGAAAGCGGTTTATTAAAATCTCACAAAATATGGATGAAGATTTTGAGTAGGTATACCAAAGTGAGTGGCCAACGTCACTTACGTAAGAAACACCCAACAAAATACGAAAATAGAACATTTAATGAAAATGTCTTGTTAACAACATTTACTAATAATAATACTGTGAAGTGAATACAGATAGAACTGTATGTTATTTTTCTATACAAAGTACATCGTTATCCAAAGCTTTAAAATATTAATTCCAATTTTAATAGGTAAGAAAAATAATACATTTTTTTCTAGTTATTACATATAGGTATTACATATCTATGATTTTATTTATATGTTATTTATGTAATTAATTATACGTTTGTGAAAAATATTTATGTTACATTCATGAATGTTTCGATATACATTATACTATAACATTAATATTTTATAAAACGCCAAAACCATAGAATACAAGGGTCTATATTTTTAGTTTGTCTTTAATGTTTCTACACAATTTATAATTAATAAATATATGAAGATAAAAAAATATTTAGTAGAGCTAGGTAAGACCCAAAATCTGGGTCGCGTGGAGTTTTGAAATAATTAAATTTTTTTTTATAATATTAAATATTCAACATTAGATTACTATGAAAACATAAAATATATGTATAAAAAACAAAATAAATATTTTATGAATACAAATTCAAATAAATATGAAACAATATATTTCCGTTTAAGTATATTGTACATTGATGTTTGAACTTAGTTTTATCATAGTTCATTATCCGCTACGATTACAAGTGTACCAGTGACGGTGTCACAACGACGCTGTCGGATTAACGGTTATCGCGAAGATAGCGATTATTGATTGACAATGAAACCAAAAGAAAAAAGGTTTTTATAGTACCTATAATGTTGTGGTTTGCCAACATTTAGACACTTTCCGAAATGATCGTACCAGGAAAATTTTGTGAACCTCTGACTAGTGCGTACCTATATTGGTAATCAAAGTAATATGTTTTTATAGGACAAGAAAACTATACTACCTATATGGTGTTATTTACGCGTACCTATAATCGAAACAAATTAAATATAAGCAACGACTGACATAAAATACCGGTTATCTATCACGTGCAATTGAAAATGATATTATAACGCTTGTATATTATGAGTTTCAAAGTTGGCCATTGACACAATAAAAAAATGATATTTTAATAATTAAAAATTAATGTTGTTATTACTTATTATCTCGATAATTTTTTAATGCGTGACTGCTTAACTTGGGTGTATTTTATAATATTTTGTATGTGTTTACTTTTGGAGGAAATTTATTACCAATAATTTCATTTTCGTTTAATTCAGTGCCTAATTATCGGAGTCAATACTTACTTATGTAGGCGAAAGTGCAAAACAATTAAAATGACAAGAGGTCTTAAGTACGTATGTCAAAATATATTAATAGTTTATACATTGAGTTCATAATATTATCTACCTATCGGTTAAGAACTATTAAGTTGAACATTGAATTAAATGGTTATTTTTATTATTTAAAATAAATTGACAATCTGTATACAAGTAACAATAAGAAGAAACTTTGCCACTTTGGTACCTTATAATTGTTTGTATTTGTATGGAAGAAAATATCCCTTAATAGCACATACACAATTCAGAATGTTAAGATAATAATATGTGTAGTGTGTACAGAAATAAATGAACATAATATAAATTCAAATGATTGAACTACTTGAATAAATAACCCCCTTCTCCTAGTCGTCCGAAACATGTGCCTGAGAAATGAAAATATAAATCTTTTGAGATTGACTTGGCTTATAAATAGCAAAATTATTATTTATGATACTTATATAGGTAGTTATGTTTCATATAACTTTATATTACCTATATTGTATCTTGATCATATTATCTTATACTTGCATTTTTATTATAAAGTGTTATGATTTTCAAACTTAGTATAGATCCACACATGTTTCTTCAATTTCTAATCAATATGGTCTAAGTGCATTATTAAATGAATCTTTGATCACAATTTAATTTGGCTTTATGCATTTAAATTTTGTCTGGCAGTGGCAAATATTGGAATATTGCATTCATTATAATATATAGACACTTGCCTATTAAAGTAAGTGACTAGTAAGTAGTAAGCCTAAATACCGTTAAATTATAAATTAAAAGTAATGTGTTTCATAATTCGTAGTCCAATAGGTAAATTAATACAAAATATTAAATTTCAATAAAGAAATAAGTACAATAATAATATGTATAAATGTTAATGATATTTACAAGAAATTACTTCCTTATAGACTATAAAATATAGTTGCATAATATAATTTTCTAATTTTTTGTGATGCGGTACTTATGAATTATGATTGATATAATGATATATAATATATATATATTATAAAGTATATCTGTATATGAAAAAATGTTTAGAAATGCTTTGGGTTTGGATTCTGATCGGAGCGATGAATTTTAGTTTTACAATTATGTGTTTTTTGTATTTGTCTGTAATTACATTTTGGGCAAAAAAGTGATTCAATTTTCAAATTTGAAGTAAGTTCCAAGTAGTAATTTGATCTAATTTGTATTTTCGAAATCAAAAATATTAAATCTCCATTACATTCCAAACTAATTTGTAAAAACTACAAAATACCGAAAACGAGAGTATTTAAGTATTTATCCAAGCCAATTTTCAAATCAAATCAATTTGTTTTTTTTTTTTTTTGTTATTCTAACATGAATAAATATATAATATAATTTTCGAAATATTGTAGCTTTTTTGAGCTATTTGTATACATTTGAAATTTTCGAATTTCTTATTTTTCTTGTTATTATGGTGCACCTACGTTAATAACATTTTTGTTTCTTGGTCAAAAACTTGATCATGTAATGCTGAGTTTCTTAAAATAAATACAGTCATGTTTTTTTACGAGTATTCCAAGTTCATATTTTACTAAATTTAAAGTTCTAAAGCAGTATAATAATTTCTCCTAAAATGATTTGTGTTATTTATCTGTAATTAGTATAATATTGATCATATAGTTAGGCACCTACTTAGAACTTTGCTCAATTATGTATATTATTATTTGTTTATATACAATGAAACTTTTAAAATATTTAGTCTAATTCTTTAAATAGCTATTTATTCGATAATCCTCTTCAGACTCGTGCAAATGTACGTCATCTAATCTGAATACGCGTCTGTCATCTAAAAATGGCACTCTTCAGACTACACATCTGTCCGCAATGATAAGAAAAAAGATTTAATTATATAATAATATGTAAGAC